AAGTCAGCGTACTATCACTGTGAATACAGTGATTTGGTAAAGGTTGCGAGTGGGTGTGTTGACGGCACCGCTAAGTCAGCGTACTATCACTGTGAATACAGTGATTTGGTAAAGGTTGCGAGGGGGTGTGTTGACGGCACCGCTAAGTCAGCGTACTATCACTGTGAATACAGTGATTTGGTAAAGGTTGCGAGTGGGTGTGTTGACGGCACCGCTAAGTCAGCGTACTATCACTGTGAATACAGTGATTTCGTAAAGGTTGCGAGTGGGTGTGTTGACGGCACCGCTAAGTCAGCGTACTATCACTGTGAATACAGTGATTTGGTAAAGGTTGCGAGTAGGTGTGTTGACGGCACCGCTAAGTCAGCGTACTATCACTGTGAATACAGTGATTTGGTAATGGTTGTAAGTGGGTGTGTTGACGGCACCGCTAAGTCAGCGTACTATCACTGTGAATACAGTGATTTGGTAAAGGTTGCGAGTGGGTGTGTTGACGGCACCGCTAAGTCAGCGTACTATCACTGTGAATACAGTGATTTGGTAATGGTTGTAAGTGTCTTGTAGTGTCAGGGGCTTTCTAGTTTTTTCATAGTGATTGAATCAGTAACGAAATAAAGGAAGTCATCTCTCACAGGTATCACCGTTGTGTTATGTGTCTCAGTCCACATTTCTAGCTGTAGCAATATCTATTATGTTAAGCTAGCTATTGGTAACTCATATGCTTCTCAGGTCGGAATCTTTGAGTACCATGGAATGTTTGGGCTAGTGTAATTATTGCTTGTTGTACACTCTGTAAAATAAAATAAAAGATGAATTGTGAATCGGAGAGAAAAACAATATTTTAAATTGGCTGAACTTTCACTAAAGGTGAAATAGTTTTAGCCACAGTGACTAAAACCATTCTAATGTTATTCTTTGCAAGTTAATAGGTTGTTTGGCCATTTCACAAACATAAAAAACATAAAATCATTAAATATCAAAATAAATCATTGCAACAATTGACACGATAATGATAGAGAATGGAACACTATATAAGGGGTGGGAATCGCGTCTTATGGCTGCCTTGCTCTTAACGAGATCTTTGTGGACATTCACATTGAAGGTCTATTCACCATTGACCCCTGCAATTAACCTGGATAGACATTTTGTTTGTCAAATTGTGTTCGACACGGATTGCTGAAACATTGTGATAGATATTATATGATACACATCTGTCTTTTTTGTGTGTAGAGTAAAAAACCCCGGAAACTTTGAATAGTAAACATTTTAATCCCCATTTGTTGATTTCTGCCTCTCAGTGGATGCAGTCTGTATGTGATTAATAAACTGTTGGAAAAATTATGTTTTAATGGCAGATTGTAAGTGGAGATTTACAACTACTGTAAAATCTGTATTAGAAGTTGTGGCTTCTATTAAAATGGTACAATGCAATAGAGGGAATGCGGCTTCTATTAGAGCAGTCACACATATGAGAAATAGTGAATTTTTGGTTCTCAATTGTTCAAAACAAATGGGTATGAGTTCTGTTCCAAAGGGATGTGTCTTCTAATGCAGATTTCACGATACTTTCCATTTACAAGATTACTGTAGAATACTCTATTTTTGCTTGGAATCAATTTTCGCTATTTTCGCTGAAAGGATTATTCAATGAAAATAAATTCCAGCAAATATACATTTTTTCCTTTGTTTTACATTCAACTTGTCAAAAATCAGTGAGAATAAATTCCATACAAAACACTTAAAAAGTGTTTTCAGTGAAATTAATTCCAGCTAAAATAAAGTATTCTACAGTATTTAGGTGCAAAAAAGTACCTGGAGAAAAATTGTTGTAGTAGCTAGACAATTTGCCCAGTTACTGGCTTGTAATAAAAGTCTGGTTTACGGTCAAAATAAGTTGTATTTTAATGATTCATTATACAATACTTGTAACTTGTTTTACATGTACTTTTTTGGAAATGCGCTTCTAATAGCGCAAATACAGTTGGTCTCATTGGAGGCTATATTATACCCAAGGTAACCACTATGATACTTTAATTTATTATGTTTATTAGTTTATTTAAAGGCAAGTATTTTTATTGTTTGATTGCCACTCATGGAGAAAATTATGCAAAGCAAATGAAAAACTGTAATCTAGTGTACGCCCTCTAGTGGTGGATAATAGTGAAGATTGAGTAATTGATTTTTGGTATCATGCGTGTCGTATTGAAATGAAGTGAGATTCACTTTATCACGTAATAATCACTAGTGGCATTCCTCTCTGTTCACCCACACAACATATACTACTACAGCAGCTAGCATAAGACATCTCATTCCATGAGCATTACATCCGCCAGTCACGCATGCCTCTAATTTGAATAAACAATTTAATTTATTCATGGTTTGAGTGAAGGAATTGGAACGAAATGAGTGGCTTACGTTAAGCTGTAAAACGTTGATTTCATGATGAGATATTGATAATTTGCTTTGAGACATTCATTATTATGCTGTATCCTATTATTTTTGCAATTCCTGTAGTTGTTTCTAAGCAGGAGATTGATGTTCAGGTCTTACACTGGCATTCTCTGATTCGTAAATTTTAGATGTATGCTACTTTGGGGAAATCATGAACACTGATATTAGGTATCGTAATATATAGGCAGTGTTGTGGTGATGTTGAATTCCCTACTGTTTGTTGCACCATTGCATATTTATCATCAATCTTTGTTTCATTATTGTCAGTCTTTGACGGTCATTGGCCTTTTTTCAACTTATTTCTTGTATAATCTTATGAATGATTTCAGTAAAAAATCAACATGATCATTGTCAACAAGATTTACCCATATATAAATCAAAATATGTGTTCCACAATTTTTTCGTGATTCATAAAGCCATGTGAATCATAAAATCATAAAGTAAAAAATATTGGGTGCTAAACAGTAGAAATAAATATTATTTTATTACAACACATTGATATGAAAATACTTTTCAGACTGAACAAAATGTCCCACAGACTGTGGTGTGTATATTTTCACTATTGTCATGATTTCCTAGCTCTTAATCCTTGATATTGCTTTTCAATGTAAATTTCCTGATTATGCTTAATTCTCAAATGATCCATCTGTCATCTTATTTCCTGATTATAACATTTCACTTGGTGTTTTCTCATCTCTTGTCACTGTGCTTTTTCTATAGCGTTTTGTCAAAGGTGACTTGAAAAAGACAATATTTTTGTTTTAATTCGCATCGTAATCTCGGCAGCTGTCGTCAAAATTGATCTCTTTTTGGCTGACGTATATTTTGTTTAATTTCAGGATGACAGCCTGAATAACCATCAAATTGAAGGAATCCAGTGTGAAGTGGAGACTATTCTTAAAGTAAGTGCTGATGATTCGGTGTTTTGTCTGTTTATTATTAATATAAATAAGATAACTATAAAATGTCACTTAAAAAAGTTAAGTGCTGTTCACAGGTGACAAAGACGTTTTTAAACCATATTGTACTATTGATTGCGTCCCGCGATACCAAAAGAAAATTCATTTCTTGAATGCAGTCATGGCTAATATGTTTTGAAATGTCACCACCAGACTTGTCATCTCTGCTCTGACATCATGTGTTATGTGTTTAAATGATGTGATGGAATTGACAACAATATTTTAAAAATCAATTTGTTATCATGTGTAGCTTTGACACCAAGTTCAAGTTTTCCTTGAATGTTCATACATCCCCCAAAAAATTCTGAATTATCTTTGATGGACTGAAATGAAAGCAAAATTAAAAACAAATTGAACGATGTTTACTGATGGCATCATTTTAAAAAACACTAGTATTATCATATTGTCTGTTTACTAGATAATTAAAAAATTGCTTACTTTGACCTTAGAAAAATCTCTAATTTTTTAACCACATGTGAAATCAAATACATTTTTTCTGTCCATCAAATTGAATGACTTCACAAAAAATTAATCATATTACACATTTGTTTGTGCTGTCATTCCATACTGATACTATTGAACAGTTGCTGAAACATTCCCTAGGTAACGGTGGTGGATTATTTTGTAATCGCGCAGTAATTTGTTTCATTCATAAGGGACCTAGCCTTCAGGGGTTTTAAAAAGATGTACTGCCAATACTGTATTCTCACTATTAGTAGCATATGTGTATCTTCAATAATATTTTCAGTAAACTTACCCAAAAGTTCTTACAGTTATCTTAAGTGAAGAATTATTCTTAAAATAAAAGTAAAATAAAATAATACAAGATTATTACCAAGTGAAGAGAAGCTAAAGCTGAAATTTTAATCATAGAGTTGGGTTTGGAAGAATATCAGTACATTTTTGATTTCTTTTTTTTTTTCCTGTCACATCACTCTGTGCCTGTTTATTGGTCTTTATTTAACACTCCCTATCTGATACATCAAGTGTAGTTGGTAATACTATTGTGACATTCTTCTTAATGGGATTGTTTCAATGTTGATAGATTGTCACCCCTAGGGACATCTTGCTCACAAACTTTTTTCACGTATCTTTTTTTTACGGTTTTCCTGTGGAATGGATGTTTGGGAATTTTCTGTGTTTTGTGACTTATTGATCAAACAAAAAATTGTTAGATCGGTGGATTTCCTGGAAATTCAAATTCTGTTTTTATATAAGAGGAAATCATGTATGTGTATGAGGATGGTAATAATGTTTCTACTTTAATCTATTTTTTAGTTTGTGTTTACAAAAATGTGGTTATTTTAATCAATCCATGAACAAATAATTATTTTTGAAGGTAGATGAATTGTCAATGAAAAATTGAAATTGTGTGTTTTGAGTGGTTGAATTATAGAGTGGGCTTAACCTTCTAAACAGCAAAATCAACTTTCATCATTTTTCACAAAATAATCATGTTTATTATTGTTTGTTATCATATATATATATATATATTGATGAAAA